GAAGGTATACCTGTTCCCCAGTGTTCATCGCAGCACTCTTTACAATAGCCAAGAGTTGGAACCAACCCAAATGTCCATCATCAGATGAGTGGATACGGAAAAAGTGGTATATCTACACAATGGAATACTACTCGGCTATAAAAAAGAATGAAATACTGCCATTTGCAACAACATGGATGGACCTAGAGAGAATTATATTAAGTGAAACGAGTCAGGCACAGAAAGAGAAATATCACATGTTCTCCCTTATTTGTGGGGGCTAAAAATAAATAAATAAATACACAAATAAACTGCAGGGGGAAGGAAGAAGACATAATAATTACAATTTCTTGAAGTTGATACGACAAGCAAACAGAAAGGACATTGTTGGGACAGAAAGGTTGGAGGGAGGGTGGTTTGGTAATGGGTTACAATAATTAACCACATTGTATACTGACAAAATAAAATAAAATTAAAACAAAAACAAAGAAATAGTATGAAGACACTGAAGTCAGCTGCCAAAAAAAAAGAAATAGTATGAATGAGTTTTGGGGGGTGAATAAACTGTTCTGTATTCCAATAGTGGTGGTAGTTACATGAATCCATAATGTATTAAAATTCATAGAACTGTATCCCACCCCAAAATGTCAATTTTATTATATAATAATTTTAAAATTAAATAAAAGGAAAAAGTTCCCCCCCCAAAAAAGATCAATGGAACAAAATGTTGGTTTTTCAAGAGTAAGTAAAATAGACAAACCATTAGCTAAGTTAACAAAAAAAAAAAAAAAAAAAAAAAAAAAGGAGAAAGAAGACCCAAATAACAAAAATGAGAAATGAAAAGGGAAACATTACAACTGATACCACGGAAATATGAAGAATCATTAGAGACCATCATAAACAACTGTATGCCAACAAATATAAAAACCTGGAAGATATGGATAAGTTTCTGGACACATACAAACTACTCAGACTGAATCAAGAAGAGATAGAAAACTTGAATAGACCAATAGCAAGCAACGAGTTTAAAGCGGTAATCCGAAATCTACCAAAAAAGAAAATCCCAGGTCTGGATGGCTTTACAGCTGAATTAATTCTATCACACGTTTAAAGAGGAAAAGATGAAATCAAACTGTCCCTATTTACAGATGACACGGTACTATGAATAGAAAGACCTAAAGACTCTAGCAAAAAACTCCTCGAGCTGGTTAATAATTTCAGTAACACTGCAGGATATGAAATAAATGCCCTCAAATCAGATGCATTTATATTCTGTAATAATGAGTTACAGAAAGAGAAATCAAGAAAATAAACCCATTTACAACAGTTATGAAAACAATAAAACAGCTAGGAATCAATTTAACTGAGGAGGTGAAAGATCTCTACAATGAGAACTATAAACCACTACTGAAAGAAATTAAAGAAGACACAGTAAGATAGAAAGACATTCCATGCTCTCAGATTGGAAGAATTAACATTGTGAAATGTCCATACTACCCAAAGCGATCAAAAGATTCAATGCAATCCCCATCAAAATACCTATGACATTCTTCACAGAAATGGAAAAAACAGTCTTAACGTTCATATGGAACAACAAAAGACCCCAAATAGCCAAAGCAATCCTGAGCAAAAATAAATAAATAAATAAAGCCAGAGGCATAACACTATCTAACTTCGAATTATACTACAACACTACAGTAACCAAAACAGCATTGTACTGGCATAAAAATAGAAGCTCGTACCAGTGGAACAGAATAGAAAACTGAGAAATCACACCTCAGGCTTACAGCCATCTGATATTTGACAAAAGCAACAAAAACCTACATTGGGAAAAGACTGCCTCTTCAATAACTGGTGCTGGGAAAATTGGATATCCATATGCAGAAGAATGAAACTATACATGCACCTCTCACTATATACTAAAATCAACTCAAAATGGATTAAAGACTTAAGTATAAGACCTGAAACTGTAAAATTACTAAGGGAAAATATAGGTGAAACACTTCAGGAACTAGGTCTGGGCACAGACTTTATGAACATGAGTCTGAAAGCACAGGCAACAAAAGAAAAAATAAACAAAGGGGCCTATATCAAACTAAAAATCTTCTACACAACAAAGGAAACAATCAACAGAGTGAAATGACAACCTACAGAGTTGGAGAAAATTTTTGCTAACTATGCCTCCAACACGGGATTAATATCCATAATATACAAGGAAATCAAGCAATTACACAGTAAATTAACAACCCAATTTAAAAACGGGCAAAGGAGCTAAATAGACATTTTTCAAAGGAAGACATACAAATGGCCACCAGGTACACGAAAAAATGCTCAGCATCACTAGTCATCAGAGGAAGGCAAATTAAAACCACATTTAGATATCACCTTACCCCAGTTAGACTGGCTATAATAAAATAGTTGGAGAATAACCAATGCTGGTGAGGGTGTAGAGAGAAGGGAGTGTTCCTACACTGTTGGTTAGACTGTATATTAGTATAAACACTATGGCAAACAGTATGGAGCTTTCTCAAACAACTACAGATTTATCTTCCATGTGATCCAGCAATCCCACTTCTGGGTATGTACCGAGAGGAATGGAAATCATCATCAAAGAGATACCTGCACTCCCATGTTCATCACAGCTCTGTTCACACTGGCCAAGATATGGAACCAACCTAAATGTCCACTGATGGACGATTGGATAATGAAAACGTGGTATATATACACCATGGAATATTACTGTGCCATAAAAAAAGAATGAAATTCTGACATTTGCAACAACATGGATGAGCCTGAGGATACTTATGTTGAGTGAAATAAGCAAAGCACAGAGGGATAAATACCACATGTGCTCACTCATAAGTGGGAGCTGAGAGAGAAAGAAGGAAGGAAAGAAAGACCACAGTGGTGTGTTGGACTTGCAGAGAGAGAGAGCATACCTAGGGATACAAAATGGAGTGGGAGAAAGGGGGATGGGGAGGGAGGTCAGGGATAATTGGGTGGGGGTCACGGGGTATAATCACAATGTGTGGTAATGGGCATGCTGCCAGTATGGATCTGGCCATGACATCTCGGGCATGAGTGGTGACAATCAGCTTTGTATCTCATGATTATTCATAACCAATAAAAAGAATGTACTGTGCAAAAATAAAATAAGATGCAGATGACTGGATAAGGAATATGCACTACAGATACACAGTGGAATATTACTCTGCCCTAAAAAAGAATGAAATTATGCCATTTGCAGCAACATGGGTGACCTTAGAGAAAATTACGTTAAATGAAATAAGGCAGACACAGAAAGGGCAATACCATATGCGCTCACACATAAGTGGGAGCTAAAAAATAAACATACAAGTGAAAGAAAGAAAGATATAGCAATCACAATAGTATGCTGAACTTTCCAAAAGGAGAACTGAGGTTACCAGAGGTGAAAAAGGGGGAGTAGGGTACGGGAGGAATTGGTAACGGGCCACAAAAAATGATGACATTGTATATTGTTGAATAAAATAATTATTCTGATTTGAGCATCACATATTGCATACATGTATTGACATTCAATTCCGCACCCAACAGATATGTAAAATCAACTATGTTAAATTAAAAAGTAAAATGAAAAAAAAAGATTGAGAAACTGAGGCCTGTGTATAAGATAAAGAAAACAATCCAGTAGAAAGGGAGAAGCATGAGCTCCAGAAGTACAAAGCAAAGATGCAGCAGCAAAATGACAGAAAGGCCATGTGGAAAGCTGATCAATAAGCAGATGCTTTGGTGGGAGCAAAATGACTGTGCCCACATATGTCCTTACCTTCCTTCTGCTTATGCCACTCCCCTTACCTAGAATGCCTTCCCTTTCTGATGATTTATTTTTCAAATTCTACTCAGGCTTTAGCTCAAATTTCACCTCCCCTATCCAGTCTTACCCTATCAATTCCTCCTGAAGTGATATCTCTTTCTCTTTAACTCTAATAGCAATTTCTGTCAAAAAAAAATCCATTTGACAATCACACACCACCCTGTGAAACCTCATTTATTGCTTTCTTAAAAAATCTTTCGCTAATTAATTTGTCACGTGTCATTTCTCTCCTGTTGGACTGTACACTCTTCAAGGGAAGAGTGTCTGTCTTAGACTTTGGCACAGCTTCTAGAGTGCCCACCATGGCTGGCAGTACAGTCTCTTTAGGTCTCCAGTGGTAATGTGGTTAAGCAGTGGCTGTCTGCTATGAAAGATACAGAAAAATGCTGGGCTAGGTAGGCCCTTGTTGTGTATTGAGTCATTTAGTCCTCTCAATAGCAAATAAGGAAACTGAGTCTTGAAACAGTAATATGTGGCAGTGCCAGGATTTGAACCAAAGGCCCTTCCTCTGACGCCATTCTGCTTCAGTCGTCTGCAGAACTCTGTTCACCTGAAAGACCTTTTTCCTTGATGATATTGGTACAGACATGACTCTACCGAAGCTTTGCTACCAACCAAGTAGTTTCAGTGGCTTCTGCACGTTACGGCAAATCTCTCTGCACCTTACCTCCTGACAATCAGCTTGAGGATCCGGAAGGAGCCTTTGATGAGGATGAGGGCCTCTTGGCGGGAGCCATACAGTGGAGTGCCATTGATATTCACCAGCTCATCACCAGTCCTCATCTTCTGGGACAAGGCTGCCTTGCCTCCATCTTCAATCTGTGTTTCAGAGAACAAAACAGAAAGCAGGTGGTGAGGCTACTTATTCCCCAAAATTCTACTTCCTGGCTCCTCCCAATCTCAGAGCCACAAGTAGTACTGAGGAATGGCTCTAGGCAAGTCCCCGGAGCAGCACAGGAGTTGATCACAGGCCATTATTCACTGAAGGCAAAGCTTGGGCAAGCCCTTGAGGAAGGAGACAACACAGAAATAACATAATTCCTGCCTGGAGGAATGAACAGTCCATCTGGGGAGACGAGCATTTCTGAATAAGAAAATGATACTTGGAAGGAGCCACACAGTGTGGCAAAAGTAGCAGTATGGCATAGCAAAATGTGCACACAGATTACAACCAGAAGAGCCAGGTTCCAGCAAAATGACCTCTGTCAGGTCCTTTCCTATTTGGGGGCAGGCTTTGAAGTCTGACAAAGTTGAGTTTGAATCCTGCCTCTACTACTTCCTAGCTGTGTGACCTTGAGCAAGTTACCTAACATCTCTGTGTCTCAATTACCTAATAAGTGAAATGTAAACAAGAATACCTACCTCACAGGGTTATTACTATATGAAGTGTCTGAGAGCAGTAAGTCCTCAATAAATATGAGCTCTGATTATTATTATAACAAGGAGACTGACTGAAGATTTTGAGGGTGGCTTCCAGCTCAACATTCTGAATTGCAAATTCAAAGGATACAAAGTAGGTACAAACAAAGTAGCTGCTCGTTTATCTATTTTTCTTCAACAAGTGCCTGCCTAGCACAGTGCTTCCAGTGTCTGGCACACAGTGGGCATTCAGCAAAAACTGGGAAGATGGGTGTTTACTGTTCCACCACAGCCTATAGAATTTCCATTGACCAGGGCAATCTGGGCAAGAAGGTTGTCAGGGTGGGGGGACCTGAAAACAAAGGCAAAAATAATAGCCATAGGGATAGGCAAAAGCAAAGCAAAGCACAATGTCCCCAAGGTCCTTGCTTACAGCTCATTTTATATGTAACATTTCTTTTACCACAAAGGTGAGTTCTACCTACTGGAACATCGATTCCATCCATAGTGATAGGAGTCATCTCATCCATCCACTCATTCATTCCTCAAATATTTAGTAAATTTCTACTATGCACAGGACAACATGCTAAGTGCTAGAGATATAGAAATGAACAAAGTTCTTATCGCCCAGCCTCAGAGGTGGGTTACTGTCTAAAATTTATATGTCCACTAAGATGGTCAGGTAAAAAAAAATTCCCAACCCACCAGTGTAATCAGGAGGAGGTCCCCCCTCCCTTCTCCTCCCGCACCCTAGGGACAGGGGAGGTAAAGATGATTAAATTGTATAGTCCTTTGTGAAAGACAGATTCTAAATGGGGCAACTAAGGGCTTGTCTTTGCTGAAGGTATTTTTACACTTACTTCTGCTCTTGTTCCAATCTTTCTTTCAGTCTTTTATAGCAACACCCTGATCTATTCCCACACAGTGGAAGTTAGAATATTACTGAGCTTTAGGTTGGCCAGCTCATATGCAGTCTGGCAGATGAGACCTCCTGAGTGCAGAGAAAAATGTTAATTCAGAATTTTAAAAAAACAGATCAAATAAATTGAACTTCTGAGTTAAATAACAGACTTTTATTAAATTTAAAGCCGCTAACCGAACAGTTTTTTTAAAAAAAATTAACCTTTGTCTGACAAATCATAGGTTAGCAAAGTGACATTGAATATATATACCTTCATTCCAGTACCTGGGCCACCACTCAAGAGAAAACAAGCCAATATTGGTAAATGGGGAGCAACTCTCAGCAAATTAATTAAGATTACCCTCTTATTTCCATTGTCATTATTATTATTACTCTGTAGTCACAGCTAACTGCTGCCAAAAAAAAAAAAAAAAAAAGAAAAGAGAAAAGCAAAGCAAAGTGCTGTACTTGAATTTCAGAAGTTCTAGTTGAATGACTCATTCCTTTGGCATCCATGGAAGGCCTTTAGCATCAGGCAGAACTTTCAAGAGGGATCAGTCATTTGAAAGAGCTTCCTGGAGCTAACAAAGAACCACAAGTAGGAGTCTAACTAATGAATGCTAATAGATTTTCCCTGTTGATGTACATTAGTCTTAATTCACTCTACCCATTTTTTAATTCATACAACTCAATTATCCATATTACTGTTACCCATAGCAAGTCTTCCTTTCAATATGTATTGATATCAAGTACCACCTTTGGTTAATTAAGCAACATCAGCAAGATCTCTGCTTATTCTAGGCCAGAAAATGAAAGGGGTAAACGTTTTAAACTGAAATGCTTAATTATTGCTGCAGCAAAAGCTCAGGCATTTTGCATTCACTACAACTACTTCAGCTGCCACTGAGTCCTTGCAGAGACTTTTTCTTGGACAATAGCCTCAGGTCGACTGTTCATGCTCCTTTTTCTGTTTCATGCCTCTTCTCAGTCACCAGCAGCATCCTCCTCAGGAGATATGTTGAGTATAATAATTTCACTTTAGTACAAGTGTGAGGATGCCCAGATAAGAAATCAACAAATTTTGGGTACCCAGCATAATCCAAGATTCCAGACGGGTCCAATCAGGAAATGAGACTCCATTTGGTTGAAGATCCCTTGGAATATATCCCAAACCAGCCTTTTTCCAGACCCAGGGTATTTACTGATCTGGACAACTCACTCCACCTTACTCCTCTGGACTTCTTGGTTCTTTTTTATTACTGCTCACTAGACTTTCTCCCCCCCCCCCCCCCCCC